GCAAGCAACAGTAGATCAGTAATCACTTGTGCCGCCGTTACCAGAGGGAAGTAAAAGTGCCCAAGCTCTCGCTATAGACGATTGCAAGCTGGGCGACTGGCCGCCGCCATCTCTTTGCTCGAGCAGGCACGCCCGTGCGATTACGAGCTTGCCAAAGCTACGTTCACCCGCGCGTTGCACGCGCTTGCACGCATGGGGCTCCACTTGTGGCGCCATGCTTGCAATTGTCTAATAGACAATTGCAATCCATGTAAGCCTTTAGGCTTACATGGAGTAGCCAAACAAGCTACGCTAGAGCCACAAAATACGCTTTCTTTAGAGTAACGGCACTCCATTTGCGCGGTTGTCTTGTAGGCGCCGCCATTTTGGTGCTTAGTGCAAATCGAGAGCAATGAGAGATTGCTACGATTAGGAAATTAGACTTCCCAAGTTTCAGGTACACGGTATTGGGAAATTCAGGCGTTATCGTTCATCTCTGCCGCGCACTGTTCTAACGTTTCTAGGGGACGGAAAGTCATTTTCTGACGATTTTAGATGACGCTTTTTTATCATAGGCATCCGTGATTTTTAGCACAAAGATGGCTGAAGTTTATCTGGCGAGTCCAAAGTATAGTTTATTAACATTCTAAAAAAAAAGTATATTCTTACAGCCTTTGTCCCATATACGACACCCCAAAACTTCAGTTCGACGTACCGCTTGCTGACGTCGAACCGTCAATACCAACTTTCACGAGCGGCTTGATAGTCGAATTGTACAACTGATTAAAATAGCTAATGTACTATCGGAAACAATATTAGCGTGAACACGCTTCCGCGGTGACAAGCGGTGGCGCGTTCACGCTCATATTGTTTCCGATAGTGCGTGAAGTAGGGTGGTGATTTGAACCAGTTGGTAACAGTTAAACGAAACCAGAAACAGCCTCAGATAAAGAGGGACGAAGGACGGGTAAAGAATACGACGGGACAACGGCTGACTCGCAACTGAAGTTTATTCAACCAATAAACTTCAGTTGCGAGTCAGCCATTGTCCTGTCGTATTCCTTACCCGTTCTTCGTCCCTGTTTATCTGAGGCTGTTTCTCATCCTGTTTAGCTAATGTACGTGCTGCTGACAAAAAAGAAATAACCGTTTTTTTGTAGTCTTTTTGCAAAACCTGAGTGTTATTTTTCCGTAGTCTTTGATACGCAAATATTTGAGCTCTTTAGTAAGTTATAACGCACCATTATCAAAACCCTCGTAACAGTTGGGGCCGTCTGGGCGACGTCAGTGCGCTGTATATCGAACTGAAGTTTTGGTGCGCATTATATGAGACAAAAGGGCGTAAGTCGTCGCCATTTTTTACGGTGATTCCAAGCTGGCCATGTAAACATGGCACCAGATATGTTCTCAGCAAAATTACCCGTTACATTTGTGGCTCCAATGTCGATTTACGACTGTGTCATCATGCGCCTAAATTTGACTAAACATGTTAAATTTGAAGAATTTGTTTGAACTTTGATAAATTTGAAGAATAACTTAAGTGGAAACACGTAAATCATATATAGTTCTATAAGAAAAGCTCTTAAAGGTTACTTACCTTTGTAATCATTGAATACAGCCGCAACTTCTTACCTTGATGGCTTGGTGCTGTCTCCGTATTACTTTTGTAAGAGACAAAGGAACAATATTTCACTTGCTTTATTTCTACTAGGGCGAACAATGACGGGTGATAACATTCAACTTATGCCAGTGAACATGTATGTTGACCCTGATTTTTGTTTTCTGAGTCCTAACATATCACATCTGTTTATTCAATATTAGCAGCAAGGAAACAACAACAAAAAAAATTGTCTACTAGATTTAAGAGACTGCGGGGTAATATAAGTCAGATATTGTGAAAAAAAAAGAGGTAGTTGCACCGCAGGGTATCTGTAAGGGTCCTGGATAGTCAGTATCACAACGTATTCAGCGGTTTCTCTGAACCAGTAAGCATGGACAAATATTATTTAGTGTAAGTACATGGAAACACATGTCCGTGACACCGACGTGCTTTGTTTTTAAAATTTGGGGAACTTGTTGTGCACGTGGAGGTAGCGACAGCACTTTCACATGTCACAAGATAAAGCAACCGAAGTATATACGCTTATTGTATTTGAAAAAAAAACCCCTTCAAATCTACACATTTGTCTGATCTGAAACGCGGGCGAGTTTTCTCAGCTGTAAGCAGCTACGCACTATTTGAAATAATGCGAGTGCGAGCTTATTGATCGCTGTATCTGTTTTAATAACGAGAAAATTTCCAGCAACATGGGTAACAAAATTTAATAAACTTTAAATCCTTTCCTTCAACTATCATTTTGGTAAGTGAAGGTAGTGCTGAACGGAAATCGAATTTGTATACAGTCCTTCTTAATTTGTACAGCGTCAGATAGAGTGTTAGATGTCAATCAACAATGGAATAGCAACCCAATTCTCGACCTCATGAATGGATACATTTTATACTTTTTTCGGTTTCTCGTTTCAATGCCACTTAGGATTAATTTTATGCGCAATTAAAAATATTAAGGAGAACCGTTCAATTGATATAGTTATCTGGCTTAATAAAAATACGTACGTATTTATACTACACCTCACAAGTTGCTTGCAGTAGAGGCAAAAGCACAGGTGTGAGCGCGTGGTTTTCAGACTTGCTTTCCTTTCACGAGCACTCGCAAAAGGAAAGGATGCCATCGCCTATGCTTTTGCCTTTGCTACACACAACTCCTGAGATAGAGTATAGACTGGATAATGAGGTAGTTACTAAATATCCGCTACAGACCATAAAAACAAATTAAGTAAACCCAAAGGATCAGGACGTAAAACATTTGTGTTATAAATTATAATATAAAGTTCTAGCAGCAAGTAAAAGTTGCAAATGTTTTAAAACCCAAGAGGCACGCGACACAATGCTCGACATGATATGCGATAATTCGCTTCTGGACACTAACAGCCTCGATTGCAATCTCCATGGTGACAGCTATTGCCTGTTCCGTGTTCAGAATACCAGAAAATTTCCCACGCTCGAAACTCTCCTCCCGCCATGATTGGTGATTTCCTTCTCCCCACTCGACGCCTTTCAGGCACGGTTCTCCTAAAGTGGAAAAATTAGAGGTCTTTGTTGCAGCAGCTCAACCTGCTATTCTTTCCCTCCAACAGCCAATATTCGTACGATCAAACGAAAGCAAGCCGGAAACTTTTATATCTGCAAAACAATGCGTACTGACACACTACATAACATCGCCACCCATCTGGGGGCGATGTTATTCTTTATTACCCATTGTATCTTGGAGGCAGTTACTTCTTATAAATCAGAGAACTTAGAACTTCACCAAACGTGGGCCTAGTAAGACAGGCAATTTAGGGGCTTACGTGGGAAGCCAACCGAGGACATATGGCGTGCCCCAACAAGTAAATGGGTGGGCCTGGAGATCTTTGATGTAAGCCTAAAGTCTTCTTTGCATGGTGTCCTCTCTGCAAAAAGTGTCTGCGAAACTGCGGGCACTGCGCTCAGGATTCATAACGGCCAAATAGGGTTCCGTACATCGGCACTCTCACTTAAAAAAAAAAAAAAATAGGACATCCAGCAGAGGGCACCGCAGAAGCTGTTGACATGCCTCCAATCCACGCGCATACTTGATGCTTCGATTCAATATTGTCTGGTCTTCACATGCTTATATGGTAACGCAAAATGTTACACCCATAACATGTTTGTCGACGTATATAATTACTGTTTCTTTCATCCAGCCGTTTCTGACTCGAATTTAAATTTATCTGGTTTGTTAGATGCATTAGGTCACAAACAGAACGTTGACTGCTGTATCATTTTTCCATTGTTTGGGAATAATTGTCAAGACAAAAATATTGACGTCGTTTTGTTTGGTTGGTCAAAGTTTCTATCAAGCGAGGCTTGTAAAGTTTCGCAGCATCATTATCGAAAAAAACGTTATCCACCGAAAACCTTTCTGTCATCATTTTAATACTCCTTTCTTTGTAAACGTTGCTCCTGTCACTTTGCAGAGGGCGGCCGGCCCATACGAGACAATAAAAACAACGGCGCGCAAACACGCGCATAAAACAAAAACGCTGGGAGATAAGATTGAAGGCCCATTTACACAGTGGCGTTTAGCTACATTTGGCGAGCGAGTTTACACGGCAACCAAGCGTTATGTCTCTTGGCTGCCTTGACAAATTGCAGTCGTACCCCAATGTAAGTATAACAAACGAGAGGAAATGTAGTGAAACTACTCTCTGCACCAGTGTTGATAAAAATAATGTTTACAAATACGTTCAGTCGGCGCTGTGCCGCAACAAAACATTTTCATTTTTCAGAGATAAAATATATATAATAGACACAAACAAAGCTAACATGAAAAAGGAAATTTTTGAGCATCCAATATATTTGTAACGAAAGTGAAGGTATATAATTGCGTTAAGCGAGTCACAAAACAGCAAATACAAAATTAAGCTTAGCAGGACGACTTCAAGGAAAGAGTCCTTATAAGATATTTAACCTAGTTGAATGTAAGTTACCCGACTAATGTAAATTAATGGATGCCGATAAATTCAGGATGATGAGAGTTTGGAAAAGTGCTTACAAGAGGACACCGAATTATTTACCATTTTTTCATGCCAATAAAACCACGACGGTTACCGCTTCTGCCCAAATTGCAATTTTAAACTTTTCGACAATTACTTACCCAACACCAAAATCGAATTGAATGTTTCTGTTAAAAACCCAAAATGTCCACCAAATGCTTCTACCGGGCGTTTCTGATACTTCTAAGTTTACTCTCGTAATCATACAAAAGTGACAATCGGCAAAAAAAAGTTTTTATGGAACTTTAGATGTACAGGGTTGATCAATATTTTGACGCTGTTGGCTACTTTTTTTTTCAAAGGGACTTATTGGATGAGTAATGTAGGCCCTAACGTCAAATATTTTAAGAACCCAGAAAACCTGAAAACTTAAATTCACAAAATTTCCCCCCCCCCCCCCCCCCAAAAAAAAAAAAAAAAAAAAAAACCGCGGAAAAATTATAAGGTTTTTACGGAAAAAGGGAAATGTAGAAGCCTGGCCTTGCAAGTGGCAGCACCGCTTCCACGTTTAGTAACTCGAAAACCCAAGCACACGATTGGGCGTGTACGACGACTTTGTTGTCACGATTCTCGCGGCTTGTAAACTGGCATCGGGTGGGGTGCCTCGCAACAGAGCTGCGCCTCGGTCAGTACAACTCCTTCCGCTCGAAGGAGCCTCTAGTGGCGTCCAGGGGTTCGTCGGGGTCGAAGATGTCGTCGCCATACTTGTTCCTCACCCAGCCTAGGACCGCATCCTGCGAAGAGAAGAGATTCGAGAGCAGCGGCAATGAAGAAGACGAAGTAGAGAATCACGATGGTAAGACCACGGGCAAGGCAAACAACAACTAGTACATAAGAGACTTTTGTTTCTGCTTTTGCATTAACCTATCCTTGCCCATTCCCCTGCTTGGTTATGCACCAACAACTAAACGACAACAACAACCACGCAGATCCATGGTAAATCTGCTCTTTGAGCGCACCCCCCCCCCCCCCCCCCTCGCACAAAAAAAAAAAAAAAAAACCACACTTTTCGAATTAACAACGATTACCTGAAAACATAAGACTGGAGAAGATAAAAAAAATAATGGCTCTTTCTTTTGCCACTTTCCAAAGGCATTTTAAATTAATTACGTTTAGATTCCCTTTGCTCACGGACACGTTGAACACCACACCGAGCGGGTTGTCCGTGAGCTCAGGGGTGAATTTACAGGTGAGGCTTGAAGGGGGGTTGGGGGGGGGGACGCAATGTCATAAACAAGTCTAATATCACGGATAAATGTGACGTCTCGGACGAAGATAATTCTTGTTTCAACAAGAACAAGTCACTTGTCGCAGAAATAAACAACCAGTGTATGCTTTTTTTCTGAAAAAAGGTAGTTACCCTTAGGAGCTGGTGGTCAAGAAGTTGGTACGAGGCCATGCATTGCACATGGCCTGTCTTCCGTCTTTCTTTAGCGCCTTTGCTTCTCGAACGTTTCAAATGATGCAATATAGATGGCTATTGAAATCTCCGACTATTAATGCTTACCACCTTTCTATATACTCCGTCTCACCCTTACGATGGTCCATAGGAGACACTGTGAGCCACTGAAGCCAACCCAACGCTGCGTGAGCGTTGGGTACACCGTGGTGTTGGGTGAACTCCACCAGGAGTGCAGCGACTCACGGGACGCGTAATCATGTGTCACGTTTACAGCGCCGGATTGGGCGGAATGGCTCGTAGCGTCCGCTGCAGTCCACCTTAAGTTGAAGAGGAGTGTATGCCAGCACGCTGATGACAAACAAGCGTGTGCTTGTACTCAGATTTGAGTGAGATGAAGCGTCTGCGCATGTGCACTACAGACAGCAGTGCCACCGGGGTGGCGCGACGTCGTAGTCTCGGGTTAGTGTATAGAGAATGACGCAATTTTTTATTTTTAGTTAGCCCAGAAAATCTTAAGGGAAAAATTGATATGAAAATTGCCTGTTTCACGGGCATGTAATATCTCCAACAGTGTGAAAGACCTATTTACCGAAGGTGTTGCAGGCAGCCGTGCGGGACTCGTGTTGGCAAGTCCCACATAGCTTGGTGTCAAGAGGAAATGAATGACTCTCTGTAACATTTTCTACCTGAAGATAAGGTGCCTCTGTCGACACTCTACTTTGCAACACCGCATCAACCGCTTCAGCGAACCGAGCTTTCATACCGTTTGAGACTGCACGCGCTATTTCGAATCTATAGACACCATTGCAGCGGCCCGACGAAACTGTGCTTTTTTTTTTCTTTTTAGCAAAACGCCGGTTGCAATATTGAGGCTCACTGGAAGCCTCTTCCTTTCCTCCCTATTTACGCAGTGAATAATTCGCCATAATGTCCTGAATTCTCATTAATAAATTGAGGAAAATGGGCTCTTACCACTGGTCTCCGCCGGTTCTTCCACCCATCGTCGTCCTCGTAGAGCTCTTTCAAGGACATCGCCTCCATTCTGCTCAAATCAAAGACAAAAACAAACAAACAAAGAGGCATTCTAAGCTTGATTTTAGCAAATTTGTAAACAGGGAAAAAATACGGTGGCGGATTTGTTTTCCTACCCTCTGCTTTCCAAATCATTTTGCGAAACTACATGGACATGCCACGCCCTTCGCGCGTTGATGGACAAGGATATGTTCATATCTTTAAATCAATAAATAAGAGAGCCATGTTTTTAGAAGACTTATGAGCCCACGGAGGTGCCGGTGGTCTGTGGGGCCACTGGGCGGTCGAAAACTATAATCTCAATCAGGGGTTGCAATCTTTTGCTGCAGCGGTCCAAATCACCGCCATGCGGAGACTGGCAAGGGCCGGACGAAGAAACTGTGATAGTGGGGGAAGGGGGGGGGGGGGCAGGTTTAAGAATTAAAATGTAAAAGAAATGTCACATACCCAAGTTTATATGAAATTATGTTTTCTTGATTCAGGCACACGTAACAGGATTGCTCGAGCCCCCTTTTCGGTGAGATTCTGGGTGTTCAATATTGCTTGCGAAGGTGCAAAAATGCATATTAAAACGGATATAGTTAACGTCTCTCCACGAAATTGAGGGCACCTTATGCTTTAAAAGAACTTGTTGTTGGGCTAGTTAGTGTTGACTGTATTGAACCATGGTTAAAAGCGTTAAAAAGACGTACACAGCATAGAAGACAAACGCTGGAGCTACTCAAAGCTGTATTGGGAAAGGAAAATGGAAGTATATATATATATATATATATATATCAGTGTGTCGAACCGAAAAAAAATACGGGTTCGGTTACGGTTGAGGTTGAGGTAAATTTATTTTGTTCCGGTTCAGTTCCGGTTCGATTAATTCGATCCGCGAACCGCTTGGCGAACCGGTTCGGCGCGCTGAACCGGTTCGCGAACCGGTTTGGAAATTATAAATGACAAATTGCAACATCAAAATAAATTACAAATAAAACATCTGAAGTCAGCACATACGAAACGGGATACATCGTAGTGTAAGGCTCAAAGATTTCTACAGGAATGGTTTCTTTATGTGCACTCAAAGGTTACCTTACCGACGTTTACGCATTCGGACTTCATCTAATCGGGTCCGACGCAGTAGCTGTAAAATCCGCGACCTCCTTACAAACCCACTTACAAGTAGAACTCGCTAACTATCCCGCCACCTCGGCGTGTAAGCAATTGAAGGAACAGTGGGGAGAAAATACAGCTTTCTTTATTTGAACTAGCCTTCGGTAACTCAAATTAGACCCTTAAAGAAGTTTTCATTAAGCAAGATACGGAATATGAAAAACACTTCACCGAACGCAACGCCAGAAGGACGTAATATGATAAATATTAAAATAGAAGAGTTCGCTGTCTCACAAATATGTTAGCTTCTAAGTGCCTATACGAAACCGGATGCATTATTATCAAACTCCACAGCCTTTTCTTTTCTCATTCCGATGGAAGCAAGCTTCAAGAACTCGCGCGTTCTAGAAACGTGTTATGAAATGAGCACACAGCAGCATTTAGGATTTACGAGATTGTAGGAAAATGAAATCCAGTGACGCGATTTTTTTTTTTGCACAGCCTTCCAATTCTCTTTCTTCCGTGCAAGCCGCGACCAGCGCAATACTGGTTCCTATGTCAAGATTAATGGATGCAGCGTTTGTCAAGATTCATGGATGCAGCGTTTATATTCCTAAGACTGAGTGGAGAAGAAAAATATGTAAGCGAGGTGTGTGTCAGTTGACGGCACTTAAAAAACAAATGGCATTGATAGTACATTCATTGTCAACAGCGCGTGGCCGAACCGTTTTGACATGAGCCAGTAACCGTCATTTTGTTTCCGGTTCAGTTCCGGTTCGGGTTCATCGCGATAAAAATGTAACGGTTCGGGTTCGGGTTCAGTTGCGGAAAAAATACCGGTTCGGTTCCGGTTTTCGGTTCGGTTCGGTTCCGGTTCGACACCCCGATATATATATATATATATATATATCTTATACACTTATCGTCACCCAGGCTACGCATGCGCGAGATACAAGAGCATAAACCCGTTTACCCCCCCCCCCCCCCCCCCCCCCCCATATATTTATCGAAAAAACGAATCTCAGCATTATACAATGCTATTGACGTGTCGCTGGCGCACTGGGGTCCCCACTTCTTGATAAAATATGCCTCTTGCAGTTCGCGTGCTCTTTGAATTCTGCTTCTACCGAGAACCTTGGTATCGCCGAAGAGTGGCTCGCATTCGCATGCCCTACAGTGCGCGGGGCCCCGTCCTTTGTCTTTGAATTTTGTGCGTGCTCTCTTAAACGGTCATTCATGCATCTTTCCGTTTGTCCAACGTAAGATTTTCCACACGTTAGGGGGATTTCCTACACGACCCTGTGACGCATTCGATGTACGGCCTGGCGTGCTTCGTGCCACATCCTTTGCCCTCGAATTGCTAAAGAAAGCAGGAACGAGCGAGGATGTGGCACGAAGCACGCCAGGCCGTACATCGAATGTGTCCCAGGGGTCGGGTCTGAAATCCCCCTAACGTGTGGAAAATCTTACGTTGGACAAACGGGAAGATGCGCGAATGACCGTTTAAGAGAGCATGCACAAAATTTAAAGACAAATGACGGGGCATATTTGCCCGCGCACTGTAGGGTCTGCAAATGCGAGCCACGCTTCGGTGATAGCAAGATTCTCGGTAGAAGCAGAATTCAAAGAGCACGCGAAAGGCAAGAGACATATTCAGCGACACATCAATAGCATTGTATAATGCTAAGATTTGTTTTTTCGATAAATATATGGTAAACGGGTTTATGCTCTTTTATCTCGCGCATGTGCAACCTGGGTAACGATAAGTGTGTTATATATATATATATATATATATATATATATATATGTGTGTACTTCCATCTTCCTTTCCCAATAAAGTTGTGAGTAGCGCCCGTCTTGGTCTTCTATCTTGTGTACGTTTTTTTTAATGCTTTTAACCATGGTTCAATACACCTTATGCTTTGATGTCCAACGTAATCGTCCAGAACGTCCAGCCGAGTTGAAGCTGTGATCTAGCCAAACTGAAGCATGCAGCCGAATTCAAACTTGCAGCTGAACCGAAGATATAGCCAATCCGAAGCGTGCAACCGAACCGAAACTTCTAGCCGAACTTAGGATGTAGCCGAACTGAAGCGTCCATCTCAATTGAAACTTCTAGCGGAATTGAGCATATAGCCGAACTGGAGCGTGCAGCCGAATTGAAACTTCTGGCCGAATTGAGGCAATAGCCGAATTGAGGCTTCAGCCGGATTGGGACGTAATCACAGTCCGGTTAACATCACTGTTGTCAGGTTCTCTTCAGCTTCATCTGAAATCGCTGGCAACGCATCGGCTGTTCCCAGAAATGTTAAAACACTCCAGAAACAAAAGCAAAAAGATACGGCTTCAACTTTATGACAGCGTATGTAATTCTCAGGAAGTCGCAATTTGAAGTTGCAACGATCACCAATTGCGCCCGCTCTGTAAGCCGCAAAATGTGCGGCGTCCGCAAGACAATCAGGGATGTAGTGTCAGTACACTAAGCGCAGCATATATGTTGTGACTCTAACTTGGGATATGCGACGATACGTGAAAAATGCTAACACTTGCGATTTTCATTGCGCGTTTTCATAGCTACTTTCACGACTTCGTATTTAGACCGCCAGGGGCTGTGAAAGTCTAATTCGCTCGAGAAGGCTGGCGAGCGAACCTGCCGTCACAGCTTTCTGTTCTAGCCGCTAGGTTGAGTCGATTTCGCTGGAGTCGCAAATAGCGACCAGATCAAAGAACACTTACTTTGTAATCGGTGCGAAGGAACGCTTGGCGCTGATTCCCCGGCAGCGGTAGTAGAAGGGATATTTCCTGAAAAGAATGAGAAAACAAAAAATAGACGCAAATCGTTAGCTGAAGGCCATAGAGTTGTGTCCGGGGCTTGCTGAATGCTCCGGTTTGTATCCCATTAGGGTCATACTGCAGAATCCTGGAGTGCTGGATTCAACATGGGCAGAGGTTGCATGAGCTATCAACTTGCCCGACTCGGGAACGAAGACCCATGTCCTCGTTCTCGCATATTTGAGCCCACTTCACTATACCACAGGCGCAGGAAGGTTTCATTTGGCGAAAGTTTGAATGTATGTACAGGAAAGATCGCGGCGTACTGGACGAGTTGTGACAGAAGCTCTTTTACATGGACCCGGAAGAGTACCGTAAACTAGAGCTCGTCAGGCTGGAACAGTACCGGCAGCCCTCTTCACGCGTGAAACCAAGCGTTTCCCGCCAAAACGCACGAAGCGCAATCATGTGTCATTTCTGTTTTTCTTACCAGCAAAAAAGAAAACATTATGTTATTGCCCCACTAAACGCACTTCAAGTCAGTCCCCGCCCATTATTCCCGAGTGAAATGCGCTCGGCTACTTTAGTCTACGCGTCCGCGGACTGAAAGATTATATAATTTTTAGTGCAGTAACCCTTCATGGACAAAAATATATCTTTATCGTTGTTATTGACTGAAAGAAAACAGCAACATTTTTTGAACAACTTGCTATTGAAAACTAAAACCCCATTCACACGGCAGCATAAGGTATTTTTAGCTAATGTCCTTTTATTAAAGGGAGCTAAATGTTTTCTTCACACGGCGCATAGAGGCCTCCAGATAAATGAGGGTAACGGGAATTTGCCAACCTCCCTTTAGAGTTACCGGGAGTAGCCTCGGATCTCGCTCACCTCGCTTTTTCGCGTTGTGACTGACTGCACCACTGGAAGCAGTCGGCGACATGAAAGAGCATCGGCTGGCAATAAATTCTTAGACATATTGGCCCTTATGCAAATTCAAAAACGGCTGGGTCTCGAAACGTGGGCTCGTCGGCGACCAAAAAAGGTCCCAGTGGATGCCGCCCGGGGCGATTTAAAAAAAAAAGGACATAAAAAGCAACTGAGGTAAGCGCGGGTCTTTTGCCCCGAAATACGTCCTCGAACGTACTTGAGTCCCATCGTCAAAGGAGTCACTCGGCATGAGTCCTGCTTTTTTCGAACACACAGAAATCGCCTGGTTTAGACGTTTCGTCAAATGCAATGAAGACGCGATAGCATTTGATGGGATATGTTAAGAAGTAGCACTTTATATCGAAATATAGCGGAGATACGTTCCCTCCAAGTTAAGCGGAGAAATTGTGACACAAGGTCACATCACACAGTAACTTTACGTGATACAACGACGTCACGCGTCACACCCTGTGGCACGTGACATTGTTGTCACTTGAGAAAATGACGTTTTAATGCTTGCGTCACGTGACATCGCAACGTCACGTCTTACCGTGACATCACGTTAAATCATGACATCACGTGTCATTGCGACGTCATGCGGTCGGACAAACACGATAAAAAAAGGCCCGTGGAGTGCGTCTTATGAAGTCATGGCTTTAAAATAACACTTATAAGATTGGCATAAAGTGTCGGAAAGTGCTCCCCAGTTTTGTTAGCAGACTACGTACCACCGGAAGTGAAACGGCGTTGCATGAAACCAACCATTGATGGAGGCTTTTACGACGGTGACGTCAGTTTTTTACACGGCTTTAGCGTGAAAGTCTATCAGAAATCTGCGCTCGGTAACAACAATCATCAATTTAAACTGCGTTGAAGCGTAACTAGGCAAAGTTTGAACTCTATTGATCCCTGGAGCAATCCAGAGACTATTGTTTTGCGACGGTAGTGTACACTGATGATACGTTGTTGCGTGCACCGCTCCTACCCCAGCCTGGCCTGCTGGGGCGGTGACTTTCGCTGTTTGCCAAAATATCATGAAATGGAATATAGGCCATAGTTTACTTCAGTATTACGGGCACGTCAAGTAGTAGCTAAAAAATGGAGCAGGGCTGGGTCATTCGCCATCTCCATGAGGCGGATCACTCCGATCTCTAACTTTATTGCAGCGTGAAAAGTAGGAATACGCCCGCGTACATTGATTCAGAACACTACGCAGGGTATTTTTTTAGAAGGATCAGAGTTTAAAAAAATAAATGCTTGCATCAGGAATATTTAGCTGTGGGGCTTGGTTAAGGGCCATGAGGGCCAGTAGAAAAGAAGCGAAATCGGTTAGATTAGCTAGCCATTAACTACAATTATTTGACCTTCTTTTAGCATATTTAATTTTCGGGGCATAACGTAGCTGGAGAATTCACTGTTTTTTTTATTTATTTTATTCAGAAATTTGCGTTTTATTTTAAGCAACAAAGGTAACAAAGAACAGGAATGTTCTTTGTTGAGCTGTATTTTCGCTTTCAGAATACGAGGTCATATCATGTTATTAACTTAGCAGCAGAAAACTTTATCTGTACTATTAACGCGGCTTGACCTTCTTGCAACGTGATTAGCTGTGCTGACTCGTAGCCTCTGAACATCGCAAATTCACTGGTTCTTCTCACTGGAGTTGCTGATGTGCGAAGAAGCCCGCCTGTGACAATAAACGTTCACGTAGAAGTGTGCAAACATAACGAAGAAAACAATGTGCTCATAGATTGTGATCAAAGAGTGGAACCCTGGTTAACCGCAGCCCTTGAAGAATGGGACGAGAACACAAAGGCAGATGACCGCAAACTGTGTCATCTGGAGCTGCGTCAGATAGGGCTTCCACCAGAGGTATACGGGTGAACGGCGGGATCAAGGCGCACAAGGAAGTATCTGTTAGAGAATCCCATCAAGGTTCCGTGGAAAATGAGAATGGGACTCAACCCGGGTTTGTCGGCATTGCATCCAGTGTAACGCCTTTGTGCAGCTAAGGGAACTGTTCCGTATAAATACAGAAGGAATGTGAACGGAAATTGTCCCGTTTGTTGGCCTTGCATTGATTGTGCCGTTTTTATGCTGAAACGGGAAGTGTACCGTACAAAAATCAAACATGCCATTTTACTTAGGAGCATCCGTTTCCCGTGTATGACTATGACTAACGAAGATATTACAAAGTAACAACTCGTACCTAATCCCCCCCCCCCCCCCCCAAAAAAAAAAAAAAAAAAAAGTAAAAATGTCTTTAGCACTGAGCGTGCTAAAAAGAGGCAAAAATTGTTAATTTTAAATGTGAGGCATTTCTGTATGCATCCTTCGCACTGGTTTTCTTGCGGTATGTCGTTGTAAGCGATATAGACCTCTTTCGAAATACTGCCCCCTGGTTAGCAGCTGTTGAATGCCTGTACAATGGCGGACCAGAACCGCAATGTCACGGCACACTTTATGCGTTTGGTTGGATTAGAAGCAAAAACACACCCACAGAAAAAGGTGATGAGAGCAGTGACGTGGCACTTTTGACGCTGCTTGACTGGCTCGTCGGCTCTTAGCGCTGGTCGCGCTTCGACTTTCTCTACCTCATGGAATGACTTGGACGTTCCACGATGTCAGTTGTTACGCACTTGTGAAGTTGCTCAGACCTTCTAATATTCTACACGTGACTTTCGAAAGGGTACATAACTTGAACATACGATGAGCGCAAACGAAAACCTAACCCTCTTGCCCCGAGGCGCCGCCGTCTCGGGCTGAAAGAGTTACGTAATTAGCACACAATGGGATGATTACGTAATTAGACGATCTTACGTAATTAGGCCTAACATAACAACGGCGGTGCATCAGGGTGAGAGAGTTATCACCTCATGAGTACCTGATGACGTGATCATATATTCGCATACTCTTACATAATTAGGCCCAACGTAAGAAGTGCGGCGCCTCGGGGTAAAAGGATTATATAAGGAACGCATGATTACGTTATTACGTAAAACGTAATCACGTAATCTCACTTAATTATTCCCAACGTAAGGTTAGTCCTAACTGACCACGCAAGCACGTAAACGTACGTAACTAGTCCTATTGTAAAGTTAGGCCTAATATTACGTTGGGCATGATTGCGTAACTTTACGTGATCACGTAAACACGTCTTGATGGGTTATTCACGCATCTTACGCAATTAAGAGCAACGTAAGTTTACGCCTAACCTTGCGTTGGGCCTAAATACGTAGGATTACATAATCAAGTAAACTTGCGTGATTCCGACTAAGGTTAGGCCTAACTTAACTGTACACGCGGCGAGGTAATCGTACGTGACACGCGATCACGTAAGGTTACGCCTAAGGTTAGGCCTAAGTAGTAAAAGAACGCAGGCGTAAATCTGCGTTCTTACACTCTTGACGCACGTGCAAGAAGCAGCAGCTGCTGAAAAGGGAAAATACTAGCCTCGGCCGGCACAGCACTTCTTCATCGGCTATGCACACTTGCGATTGCGTTGATTATATTGATAAACACCACGAGATAAATAATAAAATCATTACTAATAACATTCATTCTGTATTCGGTATTAATAATGAAAGACATGATAAACACTGGTACATTTTCAGACGCTGCATGTTTTGTTCAACTAAAGTTCATTGCGTTCTTCGATCCATCGTCCCTCTTCGTCACCGTCGTCGTTGGTCGTCCACCAACAACCCGTCCGAGCACGTAAGCAGCGTTCTTGGTTACATCGCGATTTTTGTCTGTGAGCTGTTCTGCTACGGCGAGAACTCAACCCTACCACCGGCGTGGCAAACAGTGCTTGTAAAGGAACTGCCATGCTTCGTGAAAAAGCGGCTCTTAGTTATAGCTCAGAATAGGAACCGTTTCGCACCGGCTCGTATTCTATAGGAAGTATTCACTGGCGGCCATAGCTGTGTGCGCGACTGCTGAGCGCGTGCTGATGGCGAGCTTCCACAGTTCTTTTGTAACGTGCATTCCGCACCCTCAAGATTGCCGGTCTTAGCAGCCTATTAATGTGGGTTCGTTCTGAGCATGCGCTCTAAACAGCACCCACAAATATGGCGCCCAGTGAATACTCCTTAAAGAGT